AAAGCCACAAGACGGTTCAATCTAATCTTAATAGAAAAGTAATAACAAATAACTTTTTTTTTCGGCTAAGATGTATATTTTATGGCCTAAATAATCAGGTGGCATTATCTAGCTAGCACATGGATAAACTCAGACCTGCACCCTCTGCTTCAAAAGCAACTATATGAGCATATTGCACATTTGATAAATTAGAAGAACAAAAAGAACTGGACAATGTCATGTCACGTGAAAGCTCTATCACACCAAAATAAAGTTAAAAACCATCATGGAATCTAAACTGCATCGAATCATACGGGGGCCTAAAGATTCCCACTCCTAGTCACTATGAGTCATGTTTACAGATTAATCACAGGCCATCACCTCCGTTGCAGCTCCAGCTCCTCCTCAAACACACCGAAAGGCTTCAGCGCCTCCACCAGTTTCTGCGTCTGCACCAGATCCGACTCTTTCGGTTGAGCCAGGCTGATGGGCGACGTGATCCCATAATGCTTTGGGGTGTCCTGGGCTGGTTGCACCTGATTTGTAATTGGACTGTAAAAAAATTTTAAAAAGTTAAATAATTCAGAGAACTACAAGAGATTTATGAAATATAGAACAGACAAAAATATTTAATAATAATAATAATACATTTTATTTATAAAGCACTTTACATTTTAAAGAAAATCTCATATTTATATTGTGACATGTGCAATTTAATAATTTCAGCATTTTGTCCCTGAGGAATGGGCAAACAATTCCTTCAAAAACAAGCCTGATGACATTTACAAAGTATTCAGGATAAAATAACTGGCCAGTGTAGAAGACTTTTAATCTCTACTGCCTGAAAACCACGGGGTTAAAAATAACTACACAAAGTGACCGACTCTGTGTAGGCAATCTGTGGAGTTAAATAACGTGTCTCTTGTTGATTTTAGTCTTTGGCTTTTCTGTACACTTAATTTTAATCACCTCTATGCTTGCAATGACTGAAAAATACCTATAATCTGTTAGAAAATTATTATATAGTCAACTAAATCCACTTCTGAATGAACAGCTAATTTCATGTTTTCTAACTATAGTTTTGCCCCAAACGGCTCACTGTTGAACAAGTAGTGCACTAGATAATGCAAAATATATATATATATATATATATATATATATATATATATAATTATTTATACTAAATGTAGTGTGTTATATTTCTAGTGAAATTTTGCTATGTTTAAAATACAGCCAGCAAACCTAGTTAGCCTTTAAAGGCTAGGCTGAAACTAGCGTTACATTTCAATTAAGTGCACGATGTCAAAGAGTGACACTTCACAAGAGGAAATACTTTGTAATGGATATATCTTAGTAAATTTTCCCACCATGCTTTGGTTTAGTTTCGCACGCCTCGAATCGAGTAGAAGCAGCTAAGCTAAGCTAAGATAAGCTAAGCTAAGCTAAGCTAATCGAAGTTACCATAGGCCTCGTCAGTCCCGGTTTCTTATCAACTTTCTTATGTTGAAAAGAGACAAAAAATACTCACAAAGGCATTGTGAAGAGCTTCGTCTTTTTCTCAGCGTCTTGCATTAATTCTAAACATTTTGTTTTGTTTTGTTTTGTTTTTGTGTCCTGTGGTGCTCGGTTGGTGTGTGAAAGCGCACAGCTGTACAGGTGTGTGGAAATGATTTCTTTTGTTTACGCGAACATGGCGCTCCGGCAACAACACGAACTCACGCCTCGTCTGTGTTACGTAACCCTCCTCCTGCGCTCTGATTGGCTGTGAGTCAGATCAAAGAGTTTCCCAGATTGCGAAAGCGTTGACTGAATCATGTATGCTAATAAAGGACGGCTCTGTTCGGTGAGTCGGATCATTTTAATCGGATCACCAATAAGAGCCGAATCCCGAACGACTCATCGTCATCTGACGAGTGATTCTCCTCTTTCACTAACCGCGGTTCTGACAGCACATTCCGGCTTCATTCACATTCAAACACTAATTAGAAAAATGCTAATTCAAACGTGTATTTGCAAATTCATTTGCACTATGTGTGCGCACAATTTAAGTTCCATTACAAAGGTACAACAACGTACACCACATGGCCAAAAGTTTGTGGACATCTGACCATCACACCCATATGTGCTTGTTGAACATCCCATTTCAGATTTATTCCCTCTTTGCTGTTATAATAACCTCCACTCTTCTGGGAAGGCCTTCTACTAGATCTTGGAGCGTGGCTGTGGGGGCAAATTGGGAAATTGTAATGCTACAGCATACAAAGACACTCTATACAATTGTGTGCTTCCAGCTTTGGGGCAACAGTTGAACCACATATAGGTGAGATGGTCAGGTGTCCACATACTGTACAATGGGTGGCAAAATTAAAATCCAAATGCAAAGTCCATTTTTTATGTCTAAACTGGTATGATGAGGTACTTAGGATAGAATTAAAGTTGAGTGATGAGTGAGACTGAGAGACAAGTGGAATCAGGTGTGACTCCTGGTTGATTGGAATGAAAGCCAGTAGCCATACCGGTCCTTTGTGGATAAGATTGAAGACCCCTAGTTTGGATTGCCTTGGACACATTTGGTGAGCAGCTGTGATTTTACTTTATTAGCATTAATGTAATATAGTGGGGTGGATGGATGGTCTCTTGGGAAAATACATAAATTTGTTCTGTATTTAGTTAAAGAAGAATTTTCATTGTTGCACTCTGTAATGTGTCCAGGATGTAATATACCACAAGTTTGGTCATTGATAGTAGGAAAGCTGGTAAGAGAGGATAAAATCTGAACCAGTGAGTGCAGAGCACAATGGAGTAGTAGACTATGAACTTAATCACCCACTGTGTTCCTATACTTTTTTACAACTTTTTCTAGTGCTTGTGTTCTAATCCTGTAGCACCAGCAACACACTGCTTCTCTAGTAGCATTTTAAGGTGAACAGAAAGAGTCAAATAATAAATTGGTACAGGTACATATACTGACACCAGAGGATTTGAATTCAGAAACCCTGACATTGTCAGTAGTAAAAACTGTCAAAGTATAAATAGAGCAAATTGCACAATATATGTTATAAAATGTACAATGTAGTGCAAACAGTTGTACGGAGGCATCAGGTTGATAATATACGTCATAGAACAGTACAAAAAGATGCAAGTAGCACAGTGCAAAATGTACAAGAATGAGAAGGATGCCACATGTAATTACAGGTTACATAGTGAGATTAGGTGTAGTCGGGTCGGAAAAGCCAACGTCAGATAGCACTTATGGATCTTTATGGTCTGAGGGGAGAAGCTGTCCTGATGTTTCTAAAGTACTAGGACTGTTTACAGGGCATGAGCTGGGTGAGAGGAAGCCATGATTATTGTAGCCTGGGCTCTCGTCCTGCATCTGGATAAGTAGATCTCACAGAGTTGAGGGAGATCTATGCAGATGATTTCTGATGCAGTTCTCAATGACTTTTTGGTTGTTTGCACTCACATTGGCTGCATAACAGTGTGGTTTGGCATTCAGGACACTTCTTCTGTTGTGCACTGGCAAGAGTTGGTTGCTGTGTTCATCCCAAAGCTCTTAAGTCTCCTCAGAAAGAACAGATGTTGTTGCACCTTTCTGAGGATGCTGCTGGTATTTAGGGTCCAAGAGAGGAGCTGAATGATCAGGAATCCTAAGTGTTTTCAGGGAACACTGATTTCTCAGATTCATGCAAAGAATTTACAAACATAAAGGATAAATTTAAAATTTATGTTCTTAATTTGTCTCTCTGTAAAGCTGCTTTGTGACAATGTCGATTGTTAAAAGTGCTATACTAATAAAATTTAAGTGCCCCAGCAAGCCTACTTTGTGCGGTGTGGCTTAATGTAGCCTGGAATTCAAATAAGATGTAATTTAATACGGGTTTGTTCACTTTTAGGCATAGAGAAGTGAAAGCAGGAAATTATGATGGGGTTTTAAAACATGGCTCCCGACGAGGATGGGATTCGAACCCACGCGTGCAGAGCACAATGGATTAGCAGTCCATCGCCTTAACCACTCGGCCACCTCGTCATCGCATGTAGAGGCTCGCGTATGAAGTCTAGTAAATATCGCCATCTACTGGCGCGACATTGCTACTTCAGCAGCGTTTCAGGTGGACTGAAAGAGTCAAAAAATAAATAAAACAAAAAGTTAACTGAAGCTCAGGTGCTTTAACATTTTATTACGCTTCAGTACAGACTTTCTCAATAATAGTAGCAGTAGTAGTAGTAGAACACTAGTGGTACTCCTATACTAGTACCCTAGTGCTTCACCTATACTCCAATGCTAGTACCCTAGTACTTTACCTATACTCCTATACTAATGCTCTAATACTTCTTCTATACTACTATAGTAATATTCTAAAACTTCTCCAACAAGCCTATACTAGTACCCTAATACTTCTCCTATACTCCTATATAAGCACCCTAGTACTCCTGTACTAATTCATTCCACCTTGAATTGATGTTGAAGCGTCGCCCATAAATGGATTAATTAAAATGTGTAAATGTTAATTCAGTACATTTGTATAAGACGAGGTGGAATCTGTATGAGTTTGACTCCCATCCTTGTTGGAATCTGTACTCTTGGTCATTATGAAGAGATAAAAGCTGACATGGCAACAATTCACAATGCATAAGCCATGTTAGGCTCAACAAGATGAGGCTGTGCAATTGCATACTTAAAAAGTTCACCTCTTGGGTGGGTTTTCCAGATAAACTTACCTAATCTGGAGAGACATTTGTGATTATCAAATATGACAATATTGATTCTCTCAATAACAATCAATCCTGTAGATAATTGTCATATACCTCACACATATCCTACTTTTTGTTCCATTGTTAATATACTCTTTGCTAGTATTGTGTGCATAATGGTATACAAATTCTTTATCTGCTTCAGAAACACACACAAATATCTTAAACTAAGCTAATAAAGTTCATTAAACAAACTGATTTTCAATGTTATCTCCCAACAAAGCTATTCTCTTCCCTTTGCCAATTTTCTGGGACTGTGGGATTTTCGACAAGGATGGGATTCGAACCCACACGTGCAGAGCACAACGGATTAGCAGTTCAGTTTGGCATTCAGGACACTTCTTCTATTGTGCACTGGCAAGAGTTGGTTGCTGTGTTCATCCCAAAGCTCTTAAGTCTCCTCAGAAGGATTAGCAGTCCATCGCCTTAACCACTCGGCCACCTTGTCCACACCGGTGGTAGCTCAGTCATGGAGTCTAGTAAATATCGCCATCTACTGGAGCGACATTGCTACTTCAAGTCTAAATAAATAAACAATCAAGCAAGCAAATAAATAAATCCCGGAAGCTTTAACATTTTAGTACTTCAGATAGAATGTAATGTATCACAAGGTTGTTCACCATAGAGAGTAGCAAAGAAAAACATCAGGTTGGGGCTTTGAAAGATGATGTTCGATAAGGATGGGATTTGAACCCAGGCGTGCAGAGCACAATGGATTAGTAGTTTATCACCTTAACCACTCGGCCACCTCGTCCACAGCAGGAGAAGTTCACTCATGGAGCTCTACACTACTGGAGAGACATTGCTACTTCAGCAGCGTTTGAAGGTGGACTGAAAGAGTAAAAAAATAAAAAATTCGCTCCACCTTAAAACGCTGCTGAAGTAGCAATGTTTCTCCAGCAGGTGGTGCGTGAATATCATTGACATGAGGACGAGGTGGCCGAGTGGTTAAGGCGATGGACTGCTAATCCATTGTGCTCTGCACGCGTGGGTTCGAATCCCATCTTCGTCGATAGCAACGTTTTACACTTACATTACCACTTCCATGACTTTCCTACTTATGATGGGATTCAAACCCACGTGTGCAGAGCACAATGGATCACAGAAAGAGTCAAATAATAAATTGGTACAAGTTCAGGTATGTATACTGATACTAAAGGATTTAAATTCAGAAACCCTGACATTGTCAGTTGTAAAAAAAATGGTCAAAGTATAAATAATGCAACTTGCATAATATGATATAAAATGCATCATGGAACAGTGCAAAATGTACAAGAATGAGAAGGATGCCACGTGTAATTACAGGTTACATAGCAAGATTAGGTGTAGTTGGGTCGGAAAAGCCAGCGTCAGATAGCACTTATGGCCTGAGGGAAGAAGCTGTCCTGATGCTTCTAAAGCACTAGGACTGTTTACCGGGCATGAGCTGAGTGAGAGGAAGCCATGATTATTGTAGCCTGGGCTCTCGTCCTGCATCTGGATAAGTAGATCTGACGGAGTTGAGGGAGGTCCATGCAGATGGTTTCTGATGCAGTTCTCAGTGACTTTTTGGTCGTTTGCGCTCAGATTGCAAAACCACAGCGTTATGCAACCAATCAGGACACTTTTTCTATTGTGCATTGGTAAAGGTTGGTTGCTGTGTTCATCCCAAAGCTCTTAAGTCTCCTCAGAAAGAACAGATGTTGTTGCACCTTTCTGAGAATGCTGCTGGTGTTTAGGGTCCAAGAGAGGGAGTCTGACAGCTGAATGATCATGATAAATTTAAAGGATAAATTTATACATTTAAAACGTATATCTCGAATTTATATATCTTTGTGAAGCCACTTTGAGTCAATGGCCATTGTTAAAAGTGCTAAAGTTGAAGAACCCCAACAAGCCTCTTGTGCAGTGCAGACTTCAGATAGAATGTAATTTATCAGAAGGTTGTTTACCATATAGAGTAGCAAGGCAAGAGGGTTTTGAAATATGACGAGGACAGGACTCAAACCTACACGCGCAGAGTACAAAGGATTAGTGGTCCATCGCTGTAACCACTCAGCCACCTCGTCCTCACAGCCACCTCGTCCTCACAGCCGTGATCTTCATTGCTACACTGACATTGAAGACTTTGAAGGTGGACTGAAGGAGTTAAAAAAAATAATAATAAATTCGCTCCACCTTAAAACGCTGCTGAAGTAGCAAGGTCTCTCCAGCAGGTGGTGGGTGAACATCACTGACACGTGGACGAGGTGGCTGAGTGGTTAAGGCGATGGACTGCTAATCCATTGTGCTCTGCACGCGTGGGTTCGAATCCCATCCTCGTCGAGAGCCACATTTTAAACTTACATTACATCAGAATACCAGATTTCACAAAGCTGTCCTCAGATCGCTGATGATCTCTGTATCTGATAAATCAGTGTTAATAGTTGCTTCCTGGGCTAACTGTTAATCAGTACCTTTCCTATGCTGAAGATGATTCAGTCAACGTTTGGGAATTTGGAAACTCTTTGATCTGACTCACAGCCAATCAGAGCGCAGGAGGAGGGTTACGTAACACAGACGAGGCGTGAGTTCGTGTTGTTGCCGGAGCGCCATGTTCGCGTAAACAAAAGAAATCATTTCCACACACCTGTACAGCTGTGCGCTTTCACACACCAACCGAGCATCACAGGACACAAAAACAACAGCCATTTAATGTGGAGCGAAAGAGTTATTAACTACTAGAGTGCTTGTATAGGAGAAGTATTAGGGAACTAGTATAGCTGTATAGAAACAGCACTATGGTACTAGCACTACTACTGCTCCAGGGCTACGTTTTTTTTATTGAGAAAGTCTGTACTGAAATGTACTAAAATGTTAAAGCATCTGTGATTCAGCTAACTTTTTGTTTCATTTATTTTTCGACTCTTCCGGTTCACCTTAAAACGCTGCTGAAGTAGCAATGTCTCTCCAGTAGATGGCGATATTTACTAGACTCCACCAGTGAGCACTACAGTCATGAGGACGAGGTGACCGACCTTAAAACACTGCGGACTGCCAGACTGTTCCTAACAGTTTCTAACAAGTCGTAACACATTCTAAATAATTCCTAACAAAACTCCTAACAATCCTAACATTCATGGTCTTAGTCCTAACAAAACTCCTAACAATCCTAACATTCATGGTGTTAGTTCTAACAAAACTCCTAACAATTCCGAACGGCGCTCGGGGCAGAACAGCCATTGGCTGAAACTCAGTCACGTGACAAAGCACGTGATTAACATAAAAATAAAGAGAAACCGCGGTCCAAAATGGCTGGCGGAATCATTCACGATCCTGACAGCATGGAGAACTCACAGCGCCAACATTAATTTAGCCAACCTTATTGTTAAATCGGTGGTTTATCAGTGACATAAACATTAGGTGCTGGGTTTGCATGAGGCTGTAAATCGCGGCGATATGAGCAGGTCTGCTCGGCTCTCAGTGGCAGCGCTGCTTCATTTATACTACATAAAATAATACTAACAGTGATAACAATAATAATGACGAATGTAAAAATACAGAGTGGGACGTGTTTGGTGTTAAAACTCCGCGCGAAAAGAAAAAAAACTCGGCATGAAAACTCGGTTGGCATGAAAAATACACTTAAAACTGATCAGAATTCCTGTCTAGCCTGCCGAGTGTTTCATTTAAACACGAGCGGTTATGTCTTTAGTGAAGGTAAACAGTTGGAAAAAGTCGGTTATCTGTCAAAATATTGGATTCAAACAGTGAAAGAGAAAACTCCACACTGCTTTTAACCGAATAACTTTAGTAGCTTCATTAAAGATTAATATATATTTTAGTCATGCAGTGAGGACTATACAGTTTTATTTTATATTCTGTTGCTTTTTCTGTTTCTGAAAGTTTACTGTATAGTTTATACTGCTTTTAGATACCTCAAAACCTCATCCACTCTTTAGTTTAAACTTTATTGTCCACTCTATCTATTTGCCATAGAAAGAAAATTGTATTTGACACTGGCATAAAAGAAAAACAGTAACAACAAATACATACATGACTGGACAACCATATATGTACATAAACAAACATGAATTATATGTTATAAAGCCTGCTACTTAAAAATCGTCCTGTTTAAAATAATCTTTACCATCGGAACAAAGGATTTTTTGTATATATTTTTTTTCTGTTCTTAGAAATAATTTTTCATTATTTGTATCTGTTGTTCAGTTGTTCATTTGCCATAAGTTTTGCCCTCTCTTCCATTCTAGCTAGCTAGGGTGGCAACTTTTTCATAAACTTTAAAATGAGCCCAAGTTGTCTGATATTTACCGTGTTGTTTCATATTTGTAGACATGACTAAGTAAACCTGACGCGTACTGGAATGACATGATGTGCAAGTACGCCGAAGGGAAGTACTGCTTTACAACAGGCAAGAAGCCAGGAGCGAAGTGGAAGGATGCGTTGCAGTGTATTGATAACTGTGGTTTACACAATCAGCATGCAACCAGCTTCACGGACCAGTCCTACTGACCAGTCTCAGCCAACCCCACAGACCAGTACAGGAAAGCAGCCAGCCCACTGACCAGTACTCAAGCTAAGGGTGCAGTTGGACTGCTTCAGCACATTGAAAATGACCATCCATTGACTAGTCTGGCAGACCAAGGAGGAAAAACTGTGGATCCATGTACAGCTCCTCCCACAACATCATTTGTGATTCTGTAGCTGCACAAGCACATTCATCAGTTGCTGCTGACACACAACAACCCAGTTAGACCCAAGAGAGGCAAGGAGCTCCACAAGGTGCACCCTACATACCATCCAAACCACACATTAACCTGACGCTTCCAGAAGTGAATTGGGTGAGTTTTCTCCCCAAGCAATTCTGTAGAGTAATTAAACCAGCAGACTGGAAGTGAATAGCACAGTGTCTTTATGACAGCACAGGACAGCTGAAGCAGCAATTTTCAAAGAATTGGTTTTATCCACCAAGTCCTTGCAAGCCCACAACTTCACGTCCTGATCTGGATAATTCCTTGAGACAGCGCATGTTCTTGTTGGCACCAATGAGGATGTGGGACATTCCTCTGAAATGCACGCAGTGCAATGTGAAGATGCACTACTCAGGAATCTACACAAACGTGAGGAAAGTCATCGATATTGAATCCAGATATTACCTAATTGGAGCAGATTATTCTCGCTGCAGTAAGTGTATGATTTCTGTCTGCCCTGTGGAGATTCTTAAACAACTCTATCCTGCCCACTGTAGGGAGTGGCTCAAGTTACTTGCAGCAAGCACTTGAGGAAAGTCACTGTGAGGAGTGGGCCGGACCGTAATCTATCTGTCAGATTGTGAGCTTCACAAGAAGATAAGTACCCTGACCCAGTCTGAAGTAATTTATCAGTAGCCACCAGTTTTTTGCCCCACCCCTGGCACAGTAGTTTGAGACAGTCCATGCCAACGAGAGCCTGGGTCATCTTGACAAGCTGAAAGGTGTGATTACCTCAACATATGGTAGAATCCTGAAGCTTGATTCTACAAAGAAGATATATATAAAAAGCAAATATATGTAAACTTCAATTGATTTTCATTGATATAGCAATTTATGTATGTATGTGTGTGTGTGTGTGTGTGTGTATACTGTGTTTGTGTTCGTGTTCACGCAGATCACCAAAAAACCTTGCGGACACTGCTACATGGATGACCATATTGGTAACAAATTTGGCCAAGTCCTGAACTGTGTCCTAACCACTGGTGAGGGAGCTGGCCTAGATGACTTGTCAAGGCATCGTCAAGCGCTACAAGGATGCTAAGGAGCCAGAGCCAGATGTGATTTATGTTGACAGGGATTGCTGCAGCAAGACAGGTGTGTGACCTTCAATCTTTTCATATCAGGAATTTTTTTGTATTTCACCCTAGAATGACTGATTTTGCAGTGGATTTTTTTCAATTTGGGTGATATTTGCTTCAGTTTCTTCTTCTTTTTTTAAAATTTGTGTTGGAGAGAAAATTCACCAATAATCATTATGTAATTTATGTTAGGAGTACAGGAATATTCATCAGTTTCATTCACTTGAATTTTTCCAATTATCTACCAAATTTATGACCATCAGCGGGGCAATGTAAGATCAAGAGATCACCGCGATCATTGAATTTGACCAATACCATGTCCCAGAAAACATTCTAACTGAGGGAGACATACACTGTAGTTTTGTAGGCATTCAGTGAGCAGTCCATACAGCTGTTGAGCTTATACAAAGGCTTAGAGGTGATACTATCACCTGTAGGGGAGGAAGCCTTCACTAGAGTCAACCCCCGACTGTTAGCTACCTCACACTTGCTAATCACCAAATGGTTTGTCCACTAAATATATCTTTTGCATTAATCATTTATTATATTTGCATGGTTGCTGTTGAATTCCTAGTCACAAGAAATTCATTGTCTTATGTTTGTCTCTGGAAGAAAAACAAGGCAAAAGGACTGCTAATGGTGGGGTAAAAAGGGAGGAAATGGGGGGGGGGGATACAGAAATTTTAAGTGTTTTTATAAGTCTTTTCACTTATTTTCTTCACTTTTCTACTTATTTTCACTGAAACACGATACTGAAAGGTCAACACCCAGATCTAATTCACTTTATTTTCCCAAAAGTACAAAACAAACATAAAAATATTATGTTTTGTCAACATGAATGTGTATTCCCTTAATATGAAATTCTTTGTACAAACTTTGATAAAACTGAAAGATTAACTCACATTTATTATAGTTATTTCTCCAAATACACTTTATTCCAATTGACATCATTTATTACTTATTAAAAGACAATTATTAAAGGAGCTTTTCTCTAAACATGTTCACTTACTTTCATAAAAATTACACAAACAAGTCACAGCAAAAGCTTGAAACTAATTGAAACATTTAAAGCTTTTATTAATTTAAAACTTTAAAGCTAATTAAAGACTTGATTAAAGAGAGTCTTTTCACTCTGTGATGGTCTGCCCAGATGCTGGACAGTACCATTTTCCTTTAACCTGTGTATGGCCAGTAAGTTTGTTTTTTGACTGACCACATGTTTTGCACAGGTAGTGGTAG